TAATTCTGGTGTGGGGGTTTACTAAGGAATGAATCCAGAGGTGCTGTACTACTGGGCTACATCCTTAACCCTTTTTAAAATTTTATTTTGAGACACGGTCTTGCTAAATTGTCTAGTCTGGCCTCAAACTTGTGATTCTTCTGCCTCTGCCTTCCAAGCAGATAGGACTATAGGAGTGTGCCACTGGCCTGGATTGAAGCAGGTTTATTTGTTTTTGTGCTGCTGGGGATTGACCCCAGGTCCTCATGTGTGCTAAGCACAGGTTCTACAACTGAGGTATACCCTAGCCCAGAGGTAGGTTTAACATTTTTCATGAGGTGCTGAGGATTGAACCTAGAGGTGCTCTACCAGTGAGCTATATCTCCAGTCCTCCTTATTTTTTTGGTGAGAAAGAATTAGCTAAGTTGCCCAGACTGGCTTCAAACTTGTGATCTACCTGCCTCAGCGTCTTGAGTTACTGGAATTATGGGTGTGCACCATCACACCCAGAGATTTTAATACTTCATTTTTAGATGAGGAAGCAGGTTTTTTTTTTTTTAAAATACTTTCTTTTTTTTTTTTTAATATTTATTTTTTAGTTCTCAGCGGACACAACATCTTTGTTTGTATGTGGTGCTGAGGATCGAACCCGGGCTGCACGCATGCCAGGCGAGCGCGCTACCGCTTGAGCCACATCCCCAGCCCAGCAGGTTTGTTTAACTTGCACTAAATGTAGAAGAATTTTACATGATCCCTAGCATATAATAGGTACTAAGGAGCATGTGAGCTGCTAGCAAAATACAGAGGAAGTAAATTTGGGATAGGGATTTAAACTCAGTTTAATACTATATTATCTCCCAAGTATTCCCAAATTTTTTCTTAGGGGGAAAGTCAGTCAGCCCTATGTGTGTACAATAGAAGCCCTCTTACATGGCTGGTAGATGAAAATGTGAGTCAGAGTAGGGAATCATAAGTGACACAGATTGTGCACATTTTTTTTGAAAGTTTCTATAATTTCTTTGGGTTAAGTTCTTTGGAATTCTGTATTATCTCACTTTACTCATACTGGGGATAGAACCCAAGAATGCTTTATCAGTGAACTACATTCCCAGCCTTTTAAAAAAAAGTTTAAGACAGTGTTTTACTGAGTTGATGACGCAGGCCTTGAATTTGTGATCTTCCTGCCTTTAAAAAGCTTGTATCTTTTGTTGTGGTCATTTAATTTCTGGGAATTCCAAATAGCAACAACAACTTTGAAAAAAGTTTTACATATAAAATTTTCATTCTAAAACATTGAAAATGAACAAATTTACATCTTATGTGAGATATCATTAAATAAAGTACTAGGGGTCTGGGCTTGTGGCTTGGTGGCAGAGCGCTTGCTTACCGTGTGTGAGGCACTCGGTTTGATTCTCAGCATTACATATCATCAATGACTTAAGTAGATGAAGTACTTAGCCTAGTATAAGATATATAGTGTTTAATAAATGTCAATAAATTTGGTTTGTACAGCCAAAAGTGGCAAAGTTGACTGATAGGTTAGTGTATCAGTTTTAATTGAAATCACAATAGTCTATGCTAAACTCTTAACCCAGATTAGTTTGGAATATTGTGGTAATGTTCTAGAATATTTTTCTGACCTACAGGGCATTCAGAGGTATGGGGCTTCTAAAGCTATGAATAAATAAAGTCTAAAATCAATTATTGTCATGTACATATAAAAATCAAGCCTAAAAATTCAATAAATAAGGTATTTTTTAGTATAAGTAGTATGTGTATATGGCATAAAGTTGTTCAAAAGATACACAAATATATACATTGAAAAGGTTAAATCCTTCGTTCCATCCTTGCGGCATAGCTACAATTACTGTTACTAGTTTGTTGCTTTCTTCTAGAAGTATTCCACGTATATCCATTTTTACACAAATGGTAGGATACTTTACATACTATTTTGCAATTCATTTTTTCACTGTTTTGGAGTTCTTCCCATACCAGTATATTCCTCCACCACATTCTTTTCATGTGTGTCTCCTTGAACAAGCCTGATTGATGGACATTGTGGTTAATTCCAGTTGTTTGCTTATAGAAACTGCTGCAGTGAATGTTGGATATGCTGTTCCAGAAGTGCATTAATGTTGGGTTCTGTGACTGCTAGTTATTTCTTGAAGCCTGTGCCTCATAAGGACTATTAATGAAGATTCCTCCTTTGCTGTTACTATGAAGTGTTTATGGAATGTCAAACTCAAATTACAGGTGGATGTAATGGAAATTGTTAATAACATGAGAATTGTACACTATTGCCAAATAAGATTCTCTTGGAATACAAAGTATTTTCCATTATATGAACCAATTTAGGGGAGATGGATACGTGAATCGTTTCAATTTATTTCTTTCAAGAGTCTGCTTGAATAATGTAGCCAGAATAAGGTAGATGGGGAATAATGATGTAGTTGAGAGCATTCGAGAGGTAATAGATGATCCTCTAACCTTTCATTTTATTTGGCATTATGGTCTTTGTTCAGCATTTGATCAGTAAGAAAAATCATTTGAAGAAAGAAGTGTTTAGGGGCCGTGGCTGTAGCTCAGCGGTAGAGCGCTTGCCTTGCATGTGCGAGACCCTGGGTTCGATTCTCAGCATACATAAAAATAAGTGAAATAAAGGTATATATAAAAAAAGTGTTCAGTTGAGCATTTTAATAGTGAGGAAGCTTAATTTTAAATTAGATTAGTAGTTTGGAACTAAGATTGTTGTGCCTAGGCAGAGAGGGATGATGATAGGAACAAAACTGTTTACACATACCCTAATATAAGATTCTCATAGCAAGCTGTGAGATTTCAACTGCTGTTTGCATTTGACAGAAGAGAGAACCAAGGCTTGAAAAGCAGGTTGAATTACTAGATGCCTATGATCACATGATGATGAATGACAGAGCCAGGATACAAATCTCCTGTTCTAATTCAAAGGGCTTGAAATATGAAACTTTCTTTGTTCATTGTATCCAGCCTCTCCAATTTTACCATAGAAACAATATCAGTAATAAACCACCACAAGAGCTGTCACAATAGCACTTAAAAAAGTTTCCTTATTCTTGAAATTTACAATGAAAAGTTGACCTTTTCATCAGTTGTCACTGAGTTTTGGTTCTCTGGAAAGAGCACCATGGAATTAGAGTTCATCTCCTTTTTTGATTGTCCCTAAGCTGGCTTTAGCTATTCAGTATGTCATTTAAAAGAAAAATTATTTGTTTTAATTCAGTATGTCATTTTTATCTTTTGACTGCACAGTATCTTAATATTTGAGCAGGTTAGTGGTGAAATAAAGGTAAAATTTGCATAAAGACAAATACTCAGTGGAGATTTTAGCTTAATAGCTGTGTAGAAAAGCCTGTGCAATTCAGAAGTATACCATTATTAGACCAGGTTTTAGGACAGGGATCTCTTATAAAATCCTTGGGCCCTAAAGTTTGAAAAGATTCGGGAGAAAGAGAAGGGCAGAATAGTGCCATTAAAAAAAAAAATCTTATTAATGGCACTATGGAAACCTAAACTTGAATAGTAGGCAGCCAGTCCTCTATTTTGGACATTGCCAAAGGCCTATTTAAATGTGAATCTAAGGTATAACAATTTTATGATTCTAGGCCCAAATCTTTTTTTGAAGATATGCAAATTTCTCTGTCTTCCTGGTTTTGAACTGGTGTATTTAATAACAATAGCAATTTCTTAGAGGTCCAATTTGTAATTCTGTGCTGATACATATATGGAATACTGGGATTTATAAGATGGTAAGTTAACGGTGACATAACTAATGTTTGTTATATGTATACCTTATATCCTTCAGGATTTTTTTTTGTACGGGGGGCGGGGGGAGGATTGAACTGAGGATGTTTTACTACTGAGCTTCCTGTCAGGCTCTTTAAATGAAGTAACTCTTATTCTAGTACACCCCTTGAGTGTCATCCCCATTTTACAGTTGGGAATATCAGAGTCTATGGCTTCACACTTTAGCTAGGGAGATTAGACATGAAACTACATCAAGGTAACATGAAACAAGATCAACTTTTACAGCGTCAAAGCCGCGGTTAGGTGGCAAGGGTGACCCTGGGAAGCAGAAACTTCATTTGCAGGCACACCTTACCGTGTGCCTGCTTCTACACATCAACTTCGCGGCATGGCCACCGACTTTCATCCCTGGGTGAAACCTTGAGAGTTCGAGTCCACTAAGGACGCCTGGGTATGGTTGGGAATGCCCGCCAGACTTTTGGGGTGGAAAGCCGCTTCTGCGCGTTCTGCCGTCTCTGGGTTTAAGGAAGTTGGCTGGGGGAAGGGGCTTGCCTTGCGGCTGCGTCCTGCTCCCTGCGCCCTGCCCCCAGCCTCTGCTGGCGCTAAACCCCGGAGCGCGGAGCGTGCACGTTGAGATTCCTCGCGGGCCTGGCAGCGGTGCTGGGCATGCTCAGTGGGCCGGACCCGTTAGAGTGGCGAGTAAGGAAGCGTTGGCTCCTCCGGGTCTGCCTTCCCGGTTCAGGCCCCGGCCCTGGGCTTTGTGTGCGCGGAGCTGCAGCCGCCGCTGCCTCCTCGCCCGGCCACCGGACTCGATGCCGTACGGCCTGTCCGGTTTCCGCCGTTAACCTCGCCGCGCGGCGGGAGGAGGAGCGGGGCGGGGCCAGCGGGCGGGCGGACGGGCAGGAGGGCCCAGCCGGGGGTGGGGGTGGGTGCGGGGAGCCCCGCGGGGGGTGGGGGGAGGGGGCGGGCGCGGAGTCACGGGGGTGGGGTCACCGGCGGTGGCTCGGGAAGGCCAACCGGGAGGGGAGGGGGCCGTGGGGGCGGCTCAGCGGAACCAGCCCCGGCTGGGGAGCAGCGGCGAGTCCGGGGCCGGGCCAGGGCGTTCCGGGCTTCGGTGAAGCCGCCGTGGGCCCCATCTTCCGGCGGTCGCCCGAGTTTGTGGTGATTGTTGCTGCGGCCGCCACCAACCCGGCTGCCATCTCCTCCTCCTGGACCGCCGCCGCCTCCTTTTCCTCCTCCTCCTGGGCCGGGCCGATCCCCTCCCCGCTGCCGCCTCCTCCTGGGCTGGGCCCGCGGTGTCTCGTCCCCTCGCGGAGCCGCTCCTGCCGCCGCCGCCGCCTCCTCATTCATCCTCGTGCACCATAGGCGGCACAGGCACCAAGATGTCCAACCGAGTGGTCTGCCGGGAAGCCAGTCACGCCGGGAGCTGGTACACAGCCTCAGGTAGGGCCCCAGGCCGCCCGCCCGCCCGCCGCCGCCGCCGCCTGGCCCCGCGCCCTGCCGCCCGAGGTCGGCAGCCCGGCCCGCGGCGGCGGCGGGCGGGGACCAGGGCGCGGACGGGCCGCCCGGCGCGGACCGCGTGGGGAGGGAGCGGGCAGGCCGGCCTCGCGCCTCCCCCACCGGGCGGCAGCGGTCCGGCCGGCGGCCTCTCGCTCCCCGGAGTTGGGGCTAGAGGAGAGTTGCCGCCCGGGACCCGGCTCGAGGCAGGAGCAGGCTCGCCGTGCTCCGGACCCGTCCACTAGTCGCCTCCTCCCGCTCGCGGGCGCTGGCCGCTGCCACCGGGAGGGATGGGGTGCGGGCGCCGAGCCCCGCGCCCCGGGCGCCTGGAGCGAGAGCGCGGACCGCCTGCCTCGTCCGGCCTGCCCTCCCCGCCCGGGTCCGCGGGGCGCCCTCGCGCGAGGGAGTTCGGTGCGCCCGCGCTGGAGCCTCCTCACCCTGAGCCCGAGAGGAAGTCCCCTGGCCGTTTTCCTCTGGCACTTACGAAAGACTGGCAGCATTTCCCCTCACCTTTAGGGTGCCCCGCTCTTGGAGGGAGTGAAGGCTTGTACTTTTTCACGCTCCAGACTAGACAGAAGGTCTCCGCGTGGGAGACCTGTCAGAGGATGGCCTTTCAGGGATTTGTCGCTTTGTAGGTCGGGACTCGGGTGGAAGGAAGTACTGCCAAGCAGGGGCTTTGGGTGGCCTCCCAGCTCTTTTGTCAGTGTTTGCATTGTTACTGTCATGCAGGGACAGCTGGAGATGGCATCAGCACTTTTCCTGAGCAGCCTCTCCAGTCTCTAGTCGCTCTAGAGAGGTGCGGGAACTACCTAAAATAATTAGTTTAGGTTTTGAGTAAATTCCTTCTTCTTGTCTCCCCTGTTTATAAAAACCTTTTCGAATTCTTTATGTAAGAAAGGGTAGGGACTTTAATAAAGCTCTTGTTAGAACCACTGCTTTCTGGGATTATTTTCAGGGGTCACATTTCTGGTATGTTAACAAAGAAAGTTTCCCTGTGATTTCTGATAGTCTTTTGTCATTTGGTATTGGTTTATCAATAAGGAGACCTAACTTCTGACATGAATCGGATCATGTTCCTTTTTACCAGTAACTTGGCTGGATAGTGATACAGGTTTTGAGGAAACAAAGATTTGGAAAGAAATTCTTTTCTGTGAGCTTGTTAAACTAGTTCATTAAATACATACACCATTCTCACTCACTGAAGGTTTGCTCTGTTAAGACAGACAAGAATTGTCATGATTGGATTTGGAACCCACTGCTAACAGGTAGCTGTAGTTTTTGCATTAAGCAGGTATGACATTTTATGGTTACAGTGGCTTTCCTTTATGTTTCTGAAGTACTTCATCAACCTTTAAACAATTCTCACAACCTGAGAATGTCATTTAAATTCTTGTTCAGTAAATAGGGAAACATGTAGAGAAGTTCAGCAATGTGTCCAAGACTAAGCCAGGAATTGAAAAAAGGGAGGCCCTGGTTTCTGGTTATGTCCTCTACAATTAATTTTTAATATTATTGATGAAAAATAGCCTTTCAGAGTTGTAAATAACTTCGATGTGTTTTGAAGAGTTAAAAAGAGTTCAAAAAAGTCTCAGCTTTCACTTTTTTTTTTTTTTGGTACTATGAATTGGACCCAGAGACACTTTATCCCAAACTACATCCCCAGCTCTTTTTATTTTTTTATTTTTAAGATAGGGGCTCACTGCATTGCTCAGGGCCTTGCTGAGTTGCTGAGGCTGGCCTCAAACTTGCCATCCTCTGGCAGAACCAAGCCTCTGGGATTGTAGAGGTGGGCCAACAAGCCTGGTTCTAGTTTTCACTTTCTTGGCCATCTTTTGGTATAACTGTTGTGGTTTTCTATGCCTTTCTAAGAGTGTTTTAAACTCTTTTTGTTGTTTTGTATTGGAATGTGGGTAAGTATTCTGGAGGAATTTTTATAGATTCTTGAACATTCTTTGGGGAGTAAAATTGGACACAGTTCACACTTTGTATTTAGAAAGATGGCTTCACTGTATTTTCTCAATATAAGATGAATTCTTTAATCAAGCTAAATTATGTGATGATAGTTATTTATCAACAGTGAACTAAAATGGACTATTTTCTTAAAACTTTCACATAGAGAATTATATTCTTATTTCCCTAAATTCTAAGTGAATGTAGTAATGCCACTTTGGTAATGTGAACTGTCATAGAATTTTATTGCTAAATTCAAACTATATGTGTGAGACTTTATAAATGTGATAAATTTATAATTGAGGGTGCATTTAAAGCAAATTAATTGTAAAGCTCAATTTGGATTTTAAAAATAAATGAAGTAAAATTATAGGTAAGTAAATTTAGAATTGGTCTAATAACTTCTGTCTTTAATTTTGTGCCTTTGTACCTGTATCAATATCATTGACTATTGAAAAACTTTTATATGTATTGCATTATTGTTTCTTTTTCTTTTTATTGCTTCTTCTTCTTCTTCTTCTTTTTTTTTTTTTAAAGGGATTGAATCCAGGGGTACTCTAGTACTGAGCTGTATCCTCAGTCCCTTTTATTTATGTTGAGACAAGATCTCACTAAGTTGACTGGAGCAGCCTTGAATTGGTGATCCTCTTGAGTTGCTGGGATTACAGGCCTGCACCACTGCACCCGAGTGTGTTGTTATTTCTCTAGGAAACTAGTCCTAAAGACATGTGAAGAATAAGAGTGATGCATTTGTTAATCATCATTCTGTGGTTCTTGCAGCATTCAGGTTATGTTTATAGAATTAAAGCATTCAATTACTAATAGAAGCTATTTCAGTGAATAAGTGTCTGTATATATATATATATATATATCACACACCCATATATCTTCATCTTACTTATACCTTGTTTTATGCTAGATCCATTGACAGAGAGTAGTGGAAATTGTTGCCTGTCCTCAAGGAATTTATAGTTATACATAGGAAGTAATAGTTCAAGGCAGCAGTTGAATATCAGAGAAGCTTAGATGGTGCTTTTTAGGAGTTTTGAGGAGGGTGGAGTGACTTTAAGGTTACAGTTTGAATTGTTCTTTGTATATGGGCAAGTTTGGAGCAGGAGGAAAGAACATTGGGTTGGGAAACACCACCAAGATACAGAGGCAGTTAAATGTAATTAGTTCAATTTAATAAAGAGTGGAAGGTTCTCCTGGGTATAATTCATGAGCCTGGAATAGGAGATTAGAGCTGGAGTATAGCCTATGAGTGCTAAACATTGTAGGGATTGGACTTTAGTGAGGACCAATGGAGATTTTAGAGTAAAGAACTAATATGATTAATCTCATAGGAAGAAAATTAATCTCATAGGAAGATTAATCCTTACTTCTTTGCTAGTGTGCAGCAAGGATCAGCAAACTTAACTGTGGCCCACATCTCCCATTCCACCCCCCCCCACACCGTGTCTCACTAGCTAAGTTTAATTAAAAAAAAATTTTTTTTTTATAGTTGTAGATGGACAATGTGTCTTTATTTAATTTTTGTATGTAGTGCTAAGGATCTAACCCAGTGCCTCACAGATTTCATTTGCTCTGCCATTGAGCCCCAGCCCCAGCCCCAGCTCTAAGTTTAATTTTTAAAGGGTTAAAGTATAAAAGCTGGGTGCATTCCTGTTATCCCAGCAGCTCCGGAGGCTGAGACAGGAGGATCTTGAGTTTAAAGCCAGCATCAGAACTGGAGGCACTGCGCAACTCAGTGAGACCTTGTCTCTGAGTAAAATACAAATAGGGATGGGGATGTAGTCAGTGGTCTAGTGCCCCTGAGTTCAATTCCTGGTACTCTGCCCTCCCAAAAAGAACAAACAAAAACAAGATATGCAATAGAAACCATGTATGGAACAAAAGTTTGAAATATTTAATATTTGTTTCTTTAGAGAAAAAATTTACTGACTTCTGTTGTAGGTTAATGGTTCTAAGAGTGTGACCTGTAGTGTTACGGATCTGTAGTCTCTTTTCTCCAGATTTGGTGTAGCTTTCATTTTATTATTTCAGGCCCTTATCATCTGTCAGGACAGTTACACCTGCCTCTTACCTAAACTTCTTTCTGCCAATCTATCCTGTTAAGTCCATTCTCTACACTGCTGCTTGAATAATCTATTGACCCTATCATTCCTTTCATCATTTTCTCACTGATCCATATTGTCTTATTCTTGAATAAAGTCTAAGTCCTTTCATGACTTTACATCTTCCTCTTTCTTGATAGCTTCTCCCATCCCATCCAAGTTCTTGATTTTACAATGCTCAAGCAACATCTAGCAAATGTATCATGCTGTTTTTTTTTTTTTAAAGAGAGAGAGAGAATTTTTAATATTTATTATTTAGTTTTTGGCAGACACAACATCTTTGTTTGTATGTGGTGCTGAGGATCGAACCCAGGCCGCACGCATGCCAGGCTAGCGCGCTACCGCTTGAGCCACATCCCCAGCCCATCATGCTGTTTTTTTTTTTATCACTGTGCTTGTTACTCAGATTTTCCCCACTATTGAAACAGACTTTGCCAGGATAATTTCTATTCATCTTTTAAAGACTCAGGTCTTAACTGGACTTGGTAGTACATGCCTATAATCTCTGCTACTTAGAAGGCCAAGCAGGAGGATTCCAAGTTTGAGGACAGCCTGGGGAATGTAGTGAGACCCTGTCTTAAAATAAAAAGAGAAAAGAGCTGAAGATGGTAGAGCATCTTTGGGTTCAATTCCCAGATACAAACAAAACAAAAGTCTTAGGTGTTAGTACCTCCAGGAAATCTACCCTAATGCCTTCTTGCTTCCCCTTGAAGCCAAGGACCATGTTTTTAAAACTCTGGATACTTGGTATAGGTTTAGTACATAATAGATATATATTTTTAATATTTATTTTTTAGTTGTAGTTGGACACGTTATCTGTATTTTATTTATTTATTTTTATGTGGTGCTGAGGATCGAACCCAGGGCCTCACACGTATTAGG